TAGCTAGTTCTATTGATGATACTGACATTACGTTTGATCGTTTCGTCAAACCAGCTACATCAAAAATGACACGCTTTAAGTTAGTTTCACATACTAAAGTAGTCAAGCTTCTAAATGGTTTATCCAATTCGAAAGCAACTGGTCTTGATAAAATATCTGGAAAGATCTTAAAAACTGCAGCCCCTACTACTGCCTTATCACTCACACACATCTTTAATCATGCTATCATAACAAGCTGTTTTCCATATGAATGGAAAGCTGCTAGACTTCTACCACTTCATAAAAAGGGTCCACGAGATCTCCCAGAAAACTATAGGCCAATATCAATCTTACCTGCAATAAGTAAAGTTATGGAAAGAATTATGTATGATCAGATCTACGAATACCTTAACGACAATTCGATCCTTTCTGAACACCAATTTGGTTTCCGCAAATCTCATTCAACTGCTTCGGCTCTTTTGGATTGCACGAACAGTTCGTACGTTAATATGGACCGCAAAATGTTTAATCTGGTTGTATTATTGGATTTAAAAAAGGCCTTTGATACTGTAAACCATGATATTTTGGTGCGAAAACTTGAGCTATACGGTATCAATGACAGTGCCTTAACCATGATACAATCATACTTGTCTGATCGCAAACAGAAATGCCAACTGGGAGACGTAATGTCATCTGAGCGGCATGTGACATGCGGTATTCCACAGGGATCCATCCTTGGTCCACTTCTCTTCCTCTTATATATATAAATGATCTTCCAGAATGTCTTCATGAAGCTGCCCCTCGGCTATTTGCCGATGACACCAATCTTACGGTAGCTGGTGAGTCAATAGAGGAAGTTGAGTTGGCCATGAATAATGATCTCCTTAGTGTACATACCTGGCTTTTAGCCAACAAACTGAGTCTCAATACTTCAAAAACCGAATTTATACTTATTGGTTCAAATCATAGATTAACGAACCTTACTAATCAACCAAATATAAAAATAGATCAAGACAAAATTAAGCAAGTTCATCATGGTAGATTACTTGGGGGTTCAAATTGATGAAAAATTGTCTTGGAACAAGCATGTTGAAAGCGTGGCCAAGAAGGTTACTTCCGGTGTAGGAGCTTTAAGAAGAATACGTGACTTTGTCGATAGGGAAACCTTGATCTCTATCTACAATGCTTTAGTTCGCCCTCATTTCGATTATTGCAGTGAGGTGCGGGATACCTTGGGCATTGGCCTTTCAACTCGACTTCAAAAACTGCAGAATAGAGTGGCGAGAATAGTAATGAGTATGACAAATGATACCCCTGGATTAGAAGCAATTACTGCCTTAGGGTGGGAAACTCTTGAGTCTCAACGAGCTAAGTCTAAAGCAGTACAAATGTACAAAGTTTTAAATGATTTGTCCCCAAATGCACTTGTTAATCTTTTTATGCGTAAAAGTGATGTCACAGATTACGAGCTTAGGGGTTCCTCTACATCACTGCAAATCCCTTTTCCCAGGACTGAAAATATTAAGAAAAGTTTTTCTTACGATGGGGCGAAATTGTGGAATTCCTTACCTGAAGATTTGCGAGATTCGGCTACCTTGCCAATATTTAAAGTTGAATTAGTGTTCACAATTTCTCATAATATAATGTAAATATAATTATTATGGTATAATACTAGGTTGACTATTGTAAATATGTTCATTTTTAATGTTTGTTACTATTTATAATGTAATTGACACGCCCCTCGTGGAAATCAGCGAAAGTTGACGAGGCTAGCGTGTGATTTTTAAATAAAGTTTATCATCATCATCATCATCATTTTTAGACTGGGAAAATGGGATTTGGGTTGCTGGGACTGGGATTTGGCCACTGGGAATGGGAAATGAAGTCCTCAAAAATGGGAATGGGATGGAAGTAATGTGAGTCGATTCCCAATTTTGATCCGTTTTTGGTGCCTTTGGTCATGATTTTTGTTGTTAACTATATTATTCACAGCACTATCTGCGAACAGGCATACTCTGGCGCCCGGAATTCTGGGTTTTCTGATTATGCCTGTCTCAGAATGCTGCAAATGACATTTTCGGGATTCAAATTTAAAAATTTTCCGTGCCTTCGGCACGAGCACCCCCCCCCCCAATATTTCATAAAGTGTCCGCCACTTGCACACACGGTGGCTTAAAAGGTCTTAAAACTGTTTATTCTACCTATCAATAAAGGGTTGTTTATTAATTGACTGGGATTACACTGAGAAGCAACAGCAACCAGGGCCTGAATCGCAACCCGTACAACCTGAACAGCAACCGAGAAGGTCAGAACGCTGGAAAAACAAACTAATTGCAAAAGACTAATAATAAACGATGAGAGAATATTTTAGAACTATAAACTTAATCAGACTATCAATGAAGACAATTATTAGGATAACATTAAGAATCTAAACATTATTAGTTGATTATTAATTAATGAAGCACTAAAGATTTTAGGAAATCTAACTGAAAGGGGAGGGATGTAGTAACTTGATCTATTAATATATCAATTATCATATGTCAGCCAATCAGCACATGTGTCTTAGTTAGTTATGATTATATACCGAGTAATAAACAAGTGATTATTTATGTGGTATGAAATGCGTGCTTTATAATACTACAGCCCCAATTATCTCAAACTATAGTGTTTGGAAAATTTTTTGGGACGTTTTGTTTTTGGAAAAAAAACGTCGACCTCCCCCGTCCGTCGCCAACATTTTCCGGAATATTTTTGCTTTCCGGAACTTTTTTAAGGGGGGGGGGGACCGAAAGGAAGGAGGCCTAAATATTTTAATTCCCCCCCCCAGCCCCCACCAGATACCGCTCGGCACGTCCCTGCTTGCAATACACATAATGCTTCGACATTTCCAGCGATAGGGATTTGTCAGGTGTTAACGTTGTTCTTATATTTTGATCCTAGAATTCCTCAAGATTTTTGTTCATCGCCACCTTCACACGAACCCCGCACACAAGATTATACAATATGACAATTAATTCAGTAATTTAAATAATATAAAACTATCACTTTATTACCATTTCCTGAAACGTCTCGCGAAGGTCCCGTAGCAGTACTTGGTGTACTTATACTACGAACCGTCCAGTCAAAATTATCATTGGCACCATTTATGAAGGAACACAGGTCACCTTGATCGAAGTTACATCTCACTATAGGACAGTAGAAAATAGTTTGCATAAGAAAACGTAAATAAATCAGTAAAGGCCGGGGTGCTGGAAAGCTGTACGGGTAGTATGGGACGTACTTGTCTGAGGATATTGGACATCAGGTATAATAATCCAGTGTAAGGATTTTGGAAAGACAAAAGGGCAAAAGATGCAGTGTCGTTGGACATCAAGGTTCATTGCGTTGGGCATCGTAATAAACGGTGGGACGATAAAAGAACAATTAGGCACATTATTCTCAAGAGATATTGAATTTCGTGATAAGTCCCTATAGTACAGTATATACCTTGGACGGATACAAGGGCATAGTCGGCGAATAGTCGGCGAGTTCTCTCCAGTAGCGCAAATAGTCGAAGAATAGTCGCATATATAGTCTACGAATATTTAGACTGAATAAGTTTTTTTTTAATTTTCTGTTGTCTTTTATTAAACAATAGCGAGCTTAAGCAAGCGACGTTTTCGACAACACGAACGTTGACAGGAAGCAAATCGGACGTTGTCAACCAACCAACATTCTTGACCCAGTCTTTTAACGTTACTCATGAGTAGTAAAAGACCCCATCTGGCGGCGGAAGTAATTAGTATGCAAACTTAGGTGTCGAAATTAATTAGTATGCAAAGTCTATGACGTCACTTTGTTCGACTAACACTCTGGCGGAATTTATAATGAGCTTGCAAAACTATGACGTCACTTTGTTCGGCTAACACTCTGGCGGAATTTAAAATGAGCTTCGAAAATCTATGAGACCAGGTAGCGCGACCAATTAGCCCGGGCAAGCCTGGGCCAACTGTGACAGGCGACCAATTAGCATTACAAATAGTTTCTGAAATAGAGGGATTAATGTCGATTTACTATGATTGGAGGTTTGAGGATTTTTACATTTACAGATGTTGCTAGCGTTCCCATATCTAATATTTAAATCGCGTTTAAAACATTTGATCCAAGCACAATCTTTTATTGAATTGAGAGTCATGAACTACAATGTATCTTGACCTATTTGTCGTATTAAGATCAAAAAAAGCCATTAGAGTTGTTTGCTGCAGCATTATTTAGCAAACCTCATAGATATAAGGAAGCTTATCAAGAATATAAGTTAGAATTGGAACAGTTGTAATATATTTTGCGATAAAAACATGTAGTCGTTATATACGTTGTTATGTGTTGCTATGTCATTAGCGACGCTTGGGTGCATGTATATATTAACGTACAACATAGTTGTACTCAGGCGGGCGGATCGCGCGGGCGGAAGAGCGGGCTTTGCAGGCAAAAGCTTACACAAGATTTCAGTTGCATTTATTTCTTCAAAACGTTTTACAAAATTTAGTACGGTCTACTTCTGAAAGCATAACCTTTAGGTGTTTTTGTTATTTGTATGCTTCTAATCGTCACTTGTTTGAGATGTTTCGCTTTTAGATTCATCGTCGTGGCTGCTTTCATCATCGCAGTCGCTTTCATCTTTCCTAATCCACTTGGGACGTCTTGGATCTTCGTCCAGTTTTGCTTCTTGACTGATGATAGATTGCTGCGTTGACTTCGCCTTCTTTTGCTTCCATGTCCCATTGGACGCAGAAGAGTCCTTGCTCCTTACTCAACAAAGTCTTTAACAATTTTCCCTCTGTGAGTCTTTACAGATTCTCTTACATTTTTTCCTTGAAGTACATCTTGACCAACTTCTGTGGCTGCTTGTAATGCTCTTTTGCCAACAACTTTAGCTCTTTGTTTGAATAGAGGGATAGCATATCTTGCAAGGCTCTTGAAAATGCTTCCGATCCCATATCCCCTTTGCATACGTGCACCATAAAATCCAGCGATATTCCTACCACGCTGCTGCCTCAAGAAATGGTCTTTCAATAGTTTTGTGTCTACAACAAGCGTACCTCTCACCATGTTGATGTGTTCAGTTCAAATTAACACAGTAAACTGATCAAATATCACTTTGTTCGCCTATTTTATGGTAAAAACGTCTTTTATCCGTACTAACATCCATAATTTCATCACAATGACAATGTTGGCAACAAGCGATTACACGCTTGAAATTTCCTTCGGACAGTCGAAAATCACAGATAGTACAGTGACACCTCTTACAATTTGGATAAAAATCTGTCCATGTGCATATGGGACATGTGGCAAAATGGGAGATGTCTAAATCTTTGTTACAACCGTTACAAACTGTGTCCATGTCTTCAGACTCATCCTCGGATTTGTCAGACTGTATATCCTGGTAGGACCACTTGTGGGCTAGCATTGTAAGGACACGTCCATTTACGATTAGGCTTTTATCAATATCCAATCTTGCAAGACCTTTGAGAAATATATTCTGTCCAGCTGGTTCCGGAATTTCAGTATTATATGGTAAAACAGTATATTGCAAAAGATCTACAATATTTGTTCCACGTATATTCTGTCCTTTGTATACAATTTGGTCCAAGTTTGTTCAATGTTCCTTTAGGATATGTAAAGTTTTCCAAGCAATTACATAGAAAGCGAATCTGTTCATGAGATGCAGAATTCAATAGAGCTTGCTGTTGAATTGAATGAGAAGTACACAAGAGCTCCACAAACGGTCTGTGTTTGATATAATTGCTGGTCATCTCTGTTCGGCGGTCAGCAACGGAATGAAGATTTAGTTGAGAATGACGCATATATAAGGGTCGGCTCGCCCTCTACAGACTAGGTCTAGACTATAGTCTTAATCGGTTTTTTTACTATAGTCTTCGTAGTCAGGACTATAGTCTTTCATAGTCTTTACTATAGTCTTTAAAGGCTTTATTATAGTCTTTCATAGTCTTTAATGTAGTCTTCATAGTCCGAACTATAGTCTTTCATAGTCATTACTATAGTCTTTATAGGCTTTACTGTAGTCTTTATAGTCTTTACTATAGTCTTCATAGTCAGGACTATAGTCTTTCATAGTTAGGACTATAGTCTTTCATAGTCATGACTATAGTCTTTCATAGTCATGACTAAAGTCTTTCATAGTCTTTACTACAGTCTTTATAGTCTTTACTATAGTCTTTGTAGTCTTTACTATAGTCTTTATATAGTCTTCATAGCCAGGACTATAGTCTTTCATAGTCTTTAATGTAGTCTTCATAGTCAGGACTGTATAATCTTTGATAGTCATTACTATAGTCTTCATAGTCAGGACTATAGTTTTTATAGTCATGACTATAGTCTTCATAATCAAGACTATAGTCTTTCATAGTCTTTACTGTAGTCTTAATGACTATAGCAAACGGGATAAATATACCTCTTCACCCTCGCTTTAAATCATTTCACTCTGACTCTTACGAAGTAAACATATCTTATGAATGCGACATCTGTGGTAAAACATTTGCAAATGCGAGTAATCTCCTTCGCCACAAGAAGGTTGTGCACGCATATGGAACTCGTAATCTTGGGCAACAAACTCTTACGGTGAATGGAGTTACAGTTTTGGAACACCCATTTACTTGCATTGTAGCTGGGTGTACACAAAGCGGCAAAACCGTATGGGTAAAATCTCTCTTGGAGAATGCTCAGAAGACCATACGTCCTGCTCCTCGACGTATCATTTGGTGTTATGGTCAATGGCAACCCTCCTATTTTGATATGATGCAGACGATGCCTGGAATCGAGTTCAATTAAGGCATTCCCGACGATATCGACAACGCAGATTACTTGGATGTATCGCAACGGAATTTGATCGTATTGGATGATCTAATGGCAAAATCTAGCAAGGATAAACGTATTGCTGATCTTTTTACGAAAGGAAGTCATCATCGAAATTTGTCTATCATTTATATTGTTCAAAATAAATTCCATCAAGGCAAAGAAATGAGAAATATCAGTCTAAACGCACATTATAGCGTGCTGTTCAAGTCACCAAGAGATAAACAGCAAATTTCTATGCTTGCAAGGCAAATAAATCCCGGAAAAGTACAAGAATTTATGAGGACGGGTACTTAATGTTGGATTTAAAACCAACAGCGAGTGATGAAGATCGACTTAAGACCAATATACTTCCAGGCGAGATTGCAAGGTTTATACAAGAACAATCATATCGTCAACCACCGCTTCTAAATGCCATGTATGATGCCGAGCAGCGAATGAAAGAAATCATGGATGCACCACAGCTTAGCGCTGTGGAAAAAAGCAAATTATATTCTGATCAACTAAAGCGTTTTTTCACATTCAAAAATAAGATGGATGTCCCGGCTCAAGCCCCTGTTCAAACATCACCGTTAATGCCCAGAGGAGGAATGAGGGTCTTCCCACAATGCACTGCGTCTCATTATTATTCACAATTACGATTTTCAACGAACGTTTGTGAAAAGTTGTTGAAGTGCATTGCGATTTTCGCTTCGTATATCTCGTTTTTTCGAAGGTATGTTTTTATATTTGTATTATTTAAGAACCTAATTAAACTATTTTTGACTTATTTGGTACAGGAATTGCTTTTTAGTTATGCTAATTACGTATTGTAATTATGCTTGTTCCGGGTCAGTGGACACGCCAATAAAATGACCTTGATATAATGCAGAAGCAAATTCACTTTTTTTTTAGGAAAATAAAAACAAAACACGTCATCGAATTCGGGAAGATTTATTCTTTCTACTGTTACTTTAAAACATGAATTTGCTCCACTAAACCGACGAGTAATCGCGGTTTGAAAATGGGGTACTTTTGCTATATTCTATCGCCGATGGCGGGAATAGACCGCCTGATAATCATCATGGCGCGAAGGAAATTATTGTACTATAAACACTATTTTCCATGATAATTTTGAAATGCTCGTACATATTTCCCCCAGGGAAACCTAATAATAAAAGACACAGAATTTCTCGTTTGAAAAATTCAACATCAAGCCGAACTTTGTTTCAGAGTCCAAAGCCAAGGTGTATTTAAAAGTACAAATGTTTTTACAAACATATTAAAAATACAGTATGATTACACAAAAACATTGTATATTTTTAATGAAACAATATGTTAATAATGGGGGCTTGAGTTATTATCATAGTGACAGTAACATTGTATTTTAATGCTTTTTTGCCTGGGAGAATTTCTGTGCATAGGCATATGAGGCTGGTGGGGGCTTGCAACCCCTCCAGTCAGTGTTTAGTTGGGCAGAATTCTGCTTTAAAAATTGGGCAATTGTTTTAAGATTGACTTTAAACAGTATTTCTGCTAGTCTGTATAGGAGATGTATTCCTTCTATTTTATACCTCTTGTTCACAAACTCATGACAATGTTGGGCAATTTCTATCCACCCATACGCCAACATTATTTTTCAATGCTGGGCATTCCAGAAAACCTATAGTACACAAATTTCCTGGAGAAGCATGCACACAATCCTGGTAAAAATCCATGAGTTTCTTTGT